ACTGAGCATCTTTCTCTTTGACACCATGTCTGATATCCCACGTGATCTGTCAAATACTAATGCATGAAAATCCTAACCTCAAAAAAATCACCCGATACATTTGCTTTTACAATGAGCAACAATATGAATGGGTCTGCCGTTCCGTTCTATTTTTCCGTACCGGTGCAAAGTTTTGAGAAATTGGAAATTGGTATTATATTGTGATTTGTCTAGCTGCAAAAAAGTAACACTCTTTTCAGTTCCCTGTAATTGAATCGGTATTTATCTCCCATAATTTCTCATTCCAGTGGCAATCTACTATGCTGCACAATAATCTTTACAGTACCAATATTGTGTTCAGTATATGAAATACTACTTTACAATTTTTTTTGAAATTTTGACACATTTTCTCAATATAATATTCTTGAAGATAAAAAAAGTACTTTTTTAAAATTTTTGCATTCGAGTGTTCCCTTAATATATCATTGTTATTACTTCTCTTTTAAGTTTCTAAAAAATATAAAACTAGATTCTTGGCGTAATTTTTCGAATTCGTTCATTAAACAATGTTTTTCTTTGTCAAAGCTTTTTGGTTTGGGTTTAACGTAAGCTCTGTTAAAGATATATTTTATTATAATGTGATGTTTCAAGAAAATGTGTGTAGTTTAATATAATGTAATGTTTTAAGAAAATGTGTGAAGTTGTAAAAATATTATATATTGTTCTATTAAAATTTAATTTGGCACTAGGAAATGGCTCTTCTCTGCTGTAAATATTAAATTTTCCAGGATATATAGAGTTTGAATTTATTTATTTTATTCGTGTTATTAGTTTACTATCTGCATATAAATTAGTAACGGTATTTTCAGAGCAACTTTTCTATTGGACGTTTACCCTACAATTGCCGTCGGGTATATATGTTGGATTTTGGGCTTGCTCGTCAGTATACCACAGGAACTGGAGAGGTCCGTTGTCCCCGTGCCGCGGCTGGATTCCGGGGCACTGTACGATATGCATCTATAAATGCGCATCGAAATCGTGAAATGGGACGTCATGATGATTTGTGGTCCTTATTTTACATGTTAGTAGAGTTCGTTAACGGCCAATTGCCGTGGCGTAAGATTAAAGATAAGGAGCAAGTAGGCTTTACGAAAGAGAAGTATGATCACCGCATTTTACTAAAACACTTGCCTTCCGATTTAAAACAGTTTTTGGAACATATACAATCGCTCGCTTACGCCGATCGCCCCGATTATGCGGTAGGTATTTACAATAATCAAACTTTCTTAATTTTTATATTTAAGTAATGTATTGCTAATTTGTATCAATTTACTCTATTAAATATATTTTAAAAAGTTACAATCTGAATATATGAGAAATTACTACAAAATATACGACTGAATTTTGATAATTTATTGGAAAAAATACTATTATCAATAAATCGTTGGCCATCAATTTTATTTTATGTGTTTCGTTTTCTCTGATTTTGTGAATTTGGTAATTTTACATAATTAATTTTCGTTTAACAGATGTTGATCGGGTTATTCGAGCGCTGTATGAAACGTCGAGGAGTAAAAGATTCTGATCCCTATGATTGGGAAAAGATAGATACTGTTAATGCAACTACTAGTCAACCAACAAATACTGTTCAAATACTGGGTAAAAACGAATATGCACATGGAAACACTGCGCAGATGACAGTTGCTGCGTCAAATGTTAGCGGGACTGAATATGTAATAATTTTGTTTTGTGTTGAAGTGTATATGCAATATTTTCAATAATTTTTAGCCACGACATCGTAATGATATGGACACAGCATTATTTGCTTCAACAGATCCAATAAATGGAAAGGAAAAGGTATTTAAGATTCAAGTTTTTCTTTTATTGTTTTCTTAAGACTAATATCTTGGGGTTTATATTAGGTTGACAAAAATTGCAACGCACCCTTACCACAGATCGACGGTCTTTTGTTGAATATGAGCTCCTGCAATCAGAACGCGATTCAGAAGGCAAATCCAGCGCAATCAGCAAATTTAACAGGTTCTGCAAATGTCCATTGCGTTAAAACAGTTGACCAAACTTTTGATCAGAAAACACAACCAAAGTTACCATCTCAACCACATTTGAACGCACCCCAAATAAGTTTATTTTTGCCGTCAGCAGCACCAAATGTGTCCAATTCCACTGGTGCAATAAAACCATCTACAGTTACGGCCTCCAATCGTTCAGATTGTGCTGGTTCGGTTACAGGCTCCACACCTCCATTGAACAGTCACAAACACCATCCAAAGCAGCAATTTATCCACGGACATTCACACGTTCAAGCTAGATCAAATTCACCTTCCGCGCAAACTGTACGCAAAAATTATTCATCTCCTATACAGGTACGTTAAGTTCATCATCAACAAATATTATTAAAGGTAGCCGATTTTTCTGTACCTCCGTCTCTTTGTTTGCTTAAATCTTTACAACTACGCAACGATGCGGTTTTTTCTAATAGATAGAGTGGCTGAAGAGAAAGGTTTGCATGCATAATAATAATAATTAAATAGTGCAGAAATACTGTTATTTTTAAAGTTTCTAATGTGATGTCGTAGATAATTAAATTTTTTGCATTTACATTGCAAACTATAGGCTGAACCCTACAAGATTTATTAAAACAATGTACTAAGTATTGTATATACATATTTATAAGTACTCATTGAAAAGTTTGCAAATGTGTTTCACTGTGAACAGACGTATTTATTCTCTGCTCCGCGTTCTATTATTTATTCTGCTGCCATAATGTAATCAATTCTTCCACTTGACGTGTATGAATTTATCACAGGCTGATGTGGATTTTTTGCTGAAATACATAAATGCTTTTTATTGTAAAGTGTGCGCGGTAGCTCGGAGAAATTCTATTCGTTCGCCGCCTGCGTCGCCATCAGTGCGTAATGCTCATTGTTCTGATATCTTAAATTCGCAACAACAAAACGCTGAACAATCAAATAACGGATTATCTGGACTATGTGATGATAGAAATTCGTTAATCGTTAAGCTTAACGAACTTAAATCAGAGATCTGCATTGTACAAAAGAAATTGTCCGATAACGGCAAGTTCTCTGCACCAGCTTCGAATGCTCTCTCTACTGCTTAAGCCACTCTCACTGCTGCGACTGCTGTTGATATAAATGCTTCTCCGTCTAACACTGCTGTTTCTGCTGATAATGTGAGTGTGAAGTATCACGCTCCCGCTACACCGAAAG